GGAAGCCCGGGGCAGAGCAACTCTGCCTCGGGCTTCCTGTAGTCAGCCGCTGGTCAGTTTCAGCAGCGGCTGAATCTGGACACCAGTTCCGACTTACATACAGATTCAACTTAAGAACAAACCTACAGTCCCTATCTTGTACGTAACCCGGGGACTGCCTGTACACAAAAGTGCCTAAGCAGAGTACATGCTAACTCCCATTGAAAGAAATTGCTTGTCTGCATATTTACGTATCCAAATGCCTTTGTAAAACCTGTCACAAGGCTCCCTGGCCATGGCGTGCCTGCACTTACTTACCTTGTGAAAAAGGAAGTAGTTGGGATGTGTACAATGTGCGGGTAACTTTGGACCAACCCCCAAGTGAAAAAAGGACCAGCGTGATGGAATATTTCAGATGTGGACAAAAGCCAAGTTAAGGGGCTGTCAGGAACATCTCTAGACTTGATTCAGATTGAAATCTCTCCTCCTAGGATTGAATAACATTAGGTCTTTCATAAGGCATTCACTTTGGACTCCATCAGAGGCCAAAAAAATAAAGGTCAAATCCTATGGTATAAATTGGCTTCGTAAGCCATACTAACTTAACATCATTATTATCTGTAATTATCAAACATTTGAACATGGCAAATTACAGAAACAAATTCACCAGGGCTGAATCTGTCTGTTGTCTCTGATAGTTACTGAAGTGAGCATATCAAAGCACCAGAAAACCACTCCAACCGGAAAATCTGTCTTCAGAAACCTTCCACCTCGCACAAACACTGATAATATTACTGACCAAATGAGAAATGCACTGCTGGGGAGACTCAAGAGTCTTATTCAAAGAGCAACTGATGTAGCATCATCAGAAGAGCGAGTCCTCTTTGTCCTGGATATTTAAGCCATTTTCAGTGTGAGCATTCAAGATAGGGTTGCCAGATACTTTCACTAAAAATACCAAAAATGGCATGGAAAAAATTGGTTGAGAAAACAAACAAACAAACAAACAACCCTGTGCCTTTAAGCCTTGAAATCCCCACGTTCTCCCTGCCCACATCAGGTGTGGCAGGGAAAAAATGATGTCCCCTGCAGCTTTCCGTCCGAGAGAAACAGAAAATACCGGACATGTAAAATTTTCTGTTTTTTTTTTTAAACCAGACAGAAGACGCAGAAGACAGAAGGCCTGTACCGGACACCTGGCAACCCTAATTCTAGGAGCAGGCCATGGTATAAAATCACCAGGGAATATTCGAAACACCTAAATCATTTACTAAATAATGTACATCCCAAATAACCCTTGATACATTTAAATCAGTTGCCTCTTGTCCTATAATCAGGGGACACAATGATGGAAACACTTTCTCCTTTCTTATTGGTGTATCTGTATTTATGGCACACTCATCACCATTAGTGTCTGGGTGCCTAGAATCTTAATCCCTCAGCTTCTGTGGCTCTGGCTGGTGTATAGAGGTGCAGTT